CTCCAAGAGTTGTGCCTTGGTATGTTGCTTTTAAGTTATTAAGTAGTGTCGTGTCTGTGTGATTATGAGAGCACGGTAGTGATTTAGAATGTGTGATCTAGGTATTGTGAGCAGTATCAAAATACCTTGTTTTCTTGTATTCGGCTGATTACAAACAGCTTATAAATATTAGCCAAACATGGGCGAGGATATCTCCTGTTGTTGAACCCTTGCCCCTACGTTTCCCACCCCCACCCTATTCGCGTATGGAAGATGATATTTAGCTACATAAATGTGTTCCATTTGTAACGCCTCAAACTTTAAAATGAGGTGATTAAAGTAGTTTTAGAATAGAAATAAACAAGCCCATGTAAACAATGGAACTATGAAAAAGAGGAACCGATGGACATCAAAAAAGAGATAGCAAGAAACAAGATAGTGTAAACAAAGAAATAAATGAAGGTAGATGCTTGCCTCTCCAAGCTAACTACAAACCTATTTTTTCATCCAAAATTATAGTGCAATATCTAATTTCTAGAAGTTTTCCATTCATGTTCACAACTCAACTTATTTATACTCTTATGACTTATTTGATAAGGTGGCCTAGATAGATCTACTGTATTAAAAATGAACAAGAATTTAAGAAATCTTGCCTATGTTACTGTACAATTTTATCCAATATAGCACGGTGATAAAAAAAAACCAGCCAAACCATCGTCCTCGTTGAAAGTTTTCATTTTTATTCGGGTGGATGAGAATCAATTTCTACACAGCACACATCATCTAGAGCCTAGAAGCATTTTGTTCCCATGAAAACATGATAAAAAAAACTCGCAATATATATATATATTGTATTATTATTATTTTATTTATTTTTTTTACAGCAAATAGAGGGAAAAAAAGGGGAGTGTGACAAAAAGCCATTCATTGGAGATGTGGGGGAGAATACGGAGGTTGGGGATAAGGTTTCAATTGACCAAGCCGAGCGACTTGGCTCACCCGTTACCCTCGGGCTTGGATCACTTATAGTGGGGCGAGCCGAGCTCCACTACCAAGTATTTGGACTACCTAAAAATTGATTAAGATGTTCCTTATTATTTACTGTAATCCGTTCGAAATAGAATAATGAAATGTACCAAACTAGTATCGAACATTGATGATCTTACGTGCCGTTAATTGATAAAATATTTGAAGTGTTGAAACATGAACCACATTTGAGTGTTCTATCAATTTATGACACTTAATTGCCACCGATCAAATGTTTAACACCAATTGTGCCAGTAACTTACTCTTCGAAATATGGAAAATAATATTAACTTCCAAACTTGACCAGATAGGACTTTGATTAGATCTATGATAGGACTCCAACCACCCCCAAGTCTCGAATGACCTTCACTATCAGCATTTGAACATTATGACCCTCCTATAAATAGCACCACCATTTTCGAGTTCAAGGCATTTACAATCTCAATTTCCGAATTCAAATACTCTCCTGCGCTCTACAAATACATTGGATAATTATCGTTCACTTGTCTAAGCTTTTTTAACTATTATTTCTTCTGGAGTCTCAATAAAAAATGGAGAAACTTACAAAACGTGTCATCTTTAAACTGTGTATCTACACTTTACATGCTGTATTTTCAAAATTTACGATTACATACTAGTATAATAATAAAAAAATAAAATTTGCTAAAAAACTATAAATTTTCCATTAAAATAGTTAAATAGATCAAAATATCCATAAAGGAAAATAACAAATAACAAATCACTCCATTTATATTACATTATATAAAACTTTATATTTTTCATTCTTCAAACGTTCAATTACTGTTTAACTTTTTTTTTTATCTCTCTCTCTCTCTCGATTCTATACACTATACTCCTATTTGGTGGAGATTAAAATTAAATTTGTGTAAATTTTGATAAAATTTGATGAAATTTGTGGTTGAAAAGTTGTGGATCCCATGAAATGTGTAATTAATATTAATTGTTGACTTTGATTTAGATTAAAATACGAATTTTAATTTCCACCAAACAATGACTATATAACTTTTTTCATTTCCATTTTTCACACGAAATGATATATGTGTTATTTATTAGATTATATAATCTTCTCTTTTACGAAGTTTTCTCACATAAAAAAAATAAAATAAAATAAAAACCTAGCTTGGGAGATACCAATAAAATTATGCATGTATACTTGATAAATTTTGTATTGCAAAATTATCACAAACCTTAAATGAATAAAAAATTGATTTTTAACTACAAAATAACAACAAATATAAAAATTATCTTAATTAACCTTTTAAAATTTTTATTCACTGGAAAAATATTAATTAGAAGATAGCAACTAAATTATTATTTTTATTCATTGTTACAATTTTGGAAGAGTCAGATGAAGTACTTTCTATATTTTTAAATACTCTATTCACTTACTAAAATTAATTTGTATTGATTTGATGCTAGAGCTTTGGGGAATAGGTCATAATTTTATAAATCTCCCACAAAAAAATAAAAAAAAAAACTTATCATTTAAAGAGAAAAAACATTTAATGAAAAATAAATAATTAAAAAATAGTATGCAAAATGTTATATGAGGTAAATATATATGGTGTGATTTGTTATTTCAATTATTGAAATTTTTTTGTTCAACTAATTAAAATAGTATATTTGTAAATTTTTCAGCAAATGGTGTTCTTGTTAACCATTATCCAAAATTTTAGTATGTAAAAGGCTAAATATATTGACTACACATTTTATATAGGTGCATCATATTTTAATTGGGTTGGAGGTTCATAATGTTTACTCATTGTTACACTTATGTTTCTAACTTTTTTAACGCATTTTTGTGCTTAACTTTCCATTAATTAACACATACTGTCACCGATAATGATATTTATCCAATTATTTTGTTAAGAGGGACTTAATAGACTTATTTATCTCTCAAATTTTTAAATAAGATGAAATATAAAAATAATACTAAATTGAAACTAAATATTCGTTGTTCATTTTAAAGCACACTAATAGAATTGTCGGACGAAAGTCGTCACCAAGGAAAAGATGTGCAAAAAATGAAAAAAATAAGAATATAATGAAAAAGGTCAGGACTTAAATGCGACAACGTAAGAAAAGTGTAAATTTCTAAATATTTTCCTACTTTTGGTCACGTGGTCATATTTTCTTTGAAAGTAAGGAAAATATTTTCTTTATGTAGGGATGATTTTTATTTTCCAAGTAATTCATTCTCTCATTCATTTCTCATTTCTCTCGTCTTACCCACCAATAAAAAAATGGACAAGTCTAATATTTTATAAATTAAAAATTAAATCAATCGAACACATTTAATTAATATTTTCTATACAAATAAGTTATAGGCAATTAAATTGCCTAAAATTTATATTATTTCCATGTAAATTTCATGTTCGCAATAAAACTCACCCTTAAGCTAGGTTTGATAGCCTTAACTTTCCTTGGAAGTTGGAAAATTTTTTCATTTTTCAACAAAATGTGTTGTTTGATGGTGTAGATTTTCGAGCCCAAGCATTTTCTTGGCAAGGCCTTCACGCGCTTGAATTCAATGATTTGTGGGAATTCAATGTGCTGCTGTAATTTTATTTTATTTTTTTGTAATGGAAACAAATTTCATAATCAAGTGTAAAAAAAATTCACTTTCATTGACAATTTGATACAAATAAAGGCCAAACGAAAACTAAACTTTAATTTTAAAAAACGATTTTTTAGAAAACATTTTTTTTCCTTTTTTTGTTCTTTTTGGCAATGAAAATAAATTTTATAACTAAATATGAAAAAAAAGTATCACTTTAATGAACAATTTTGATGTAAATGAACGCCAAACTTACACAAAATTTAAAAAATTTTCAATTATGCAATTATACCAATTAAAAACACTTAATTAACAATTTTCTGAAATTCATTTTCTTTTCACCATTGCAATCAAACGGATTCTTATTGTTATTGCTATATTAAAATATCTTATTAGGATATCCCTATCTGCACTCAAATTCCACATTATTGTTACTGTAGGTGATTGGATTGTTTTTATAAAGTCATCTACTTTTGGGGTTTCTGATAATAATTTATCTTCAAATTTAATTGAAGTTACTTTTACTTTTTGAAAAAGAAATTATTTGTAACTTATTCACAAGTCTAAAACCTACATTTAGCTTCTCGATGAAGCATAACCATCCAACTAAAGTTGTCAAAATGTTCCGCTCTGATTGGTGTGGCAATTTCCTAATTAGTTGGGTAATCGGAGTAGAGAAGGGAACATAGTCTCTCTCCCGAAATCATATTATTTCTTATTTTTATTCATTTAATGCTTTTAAAAATCGTATGTTAAATTTTTAAAAAATAATATAAGTAAATAATAAATAAATGGTTCATTAATTAATCAGAATAGCCCAAAACGGTTTCCCTGGATTTAAAAAAGTAATACTATAAGTCTTTTCCCGCTTCAGTAACGTGAACTCACAGTACAGAATCACTTTTCCTCAATTTCCTAGCATTTGGATATCAATTTCCTATAGTTCTCACAATATTGTCCCCTTTTTCTCGACTGTGGAAGAAGAAGAAATCTGGAAATTCTAAACCATATTTCAAAGAAAATGGTCAATTTGACGGAAGGTGCAATATCGATGCTGTTTACCGGTGATGCGCTGGAGACCGATGTAATACTACAAGTGGCAGAGATAACACTGGTCAAAACACAGAACCAGAACAGTAATAATGAGCGTTATCGAATATGGTTGTCGGATGGGATGTTTTCTCAGCAAGGCATGCTGAATCGGCAGCTCAACGATCTGGTTCGATCCGAAAAGATCCAAAAGGGCTCCATTGTGCAGTTGAACAACTTTGTGCTTGACGAAATTAAGAACAGTTGGTGAGTTCCCCAAATTAAATCATTTTTCTAGAAAGTAAAATGGAATGATTGCAACTAAAAGCTATCAGTCATTTGTAGGTTGAGCGTGCAATTATTCATGGATTTTTTCAATCATTTGCAGTTTCCTAATAATTAACTTACATTATTTAAACTGTAAACTATTTTAAAAATGATTGGAAAATGCATAAGTGAACCAAATTATTTGGCCTTCAATACTCCAATTTTAACAAATTTACCAGGAATAGCAGCGTGAACAGGCATCATAAGTTACCTCCTCTCCAGATGAAATGACTTTGCATCCTAATCTATTGTGACCAAACTAATTTTAATTGCTGTTATTTGATCCCTTTTTATAATTTTCTTTTTTAATTCTTCTATCTAATGGTTGTTCGAAACTTCATGGAGGATACAATGTCTCCAATTTTTAGATTTAGCCGTTTTCCTGCACTTCCTCATGGTTGTAAATTTGATTTTATTTTTTGGCTTAATTTAAGCAGGATCATACTCATTATTGACCTAGACGTGTTAGTCGAAAAATGTGAACGCATTGGTGAACCAATGTTATTCAAGACTGAGGGGAATATCTATTCAATGACAAGAACATTGCTGCCAGTTCAGACGGCAAGTATTAGTCCTCATTCGGATGCAGCTGGTTCAGTGATGGGCGGTTCATGGCCAAATGTAACCAGTGGAGTTCATGTACGGTCTGCTGGAATGGTTGCTAAGAGAGGGTCCATAGCTCAAAAAGAAGGTCCTCCAGGAATTATTCCCGCTGCTGCATTGAAACCGGTTGAGAAGGCTTTCAATCAGCAATTTCATTTCTGCACCTTAAGTGACCTTGAAGGCACTGAGAACAATAGTATTGTGGATGTGATTGGCGTGGTTTCATCTATCAGCCCATCGAGCCCAGCAACGACAAAGGTTGGCACTGAAATTCAGAAAAGAACACTTCAATTGAACGACATGTCTGGCAGGAGCGTTGAACTAACTTTGTGGGACAAATTCTGCAATGTAGAAGGCCAAAAACTTCAATTTTTTTGTGATTCTAGGAAGTATCCAGTTTTGGCAGTCAAATCTTGTAGAGTGAAAGATTTCTTCGGGAAAGTAGTATCGACCACACCTGATAGCCAGCTTTTTATAGACCCAGATTTCCCCGAGGCACACAACCTCAAAGCATGGTTTGACAATGAAGGAAAGAACGCCAATTCTATATCGATATCCAGATTTCCAAATATGGTCCGGCCAGAAGTGCTCAAAACTATATCGCAGATAAAAGATGAAAGTTTAGGTACGTCTGAGAAGCCAGATTGGGTAACAGTGTGCGCGACTCTAGTATTCATAAAAGTGGACAACTTTTGCTACACTGCATGTCCCATATGCAACAAAAAGGTTACAGATAATGGAGACGGGAAATGGCGATGTGATAGGTGCAATCAGTACGTTGATGAATGTGAGTATAGGTATATCCTACGGATGCAAATCCAGGATCACACTGGCTTAATGTGGATTACTGCATTTCAGGAAAGTGGGGAGGAGATTTTGGGTAGATCAGCAAAAGATTTGTACTACCTGAAGTATGAAGAACAAGATGACGAAAAATTTTCAGAAGTAATGCGTAATATTCTTTTTACAAAATATCTATTTACGTTGAAAGTAAAAGAAGATACATATAACTACAAAAAGGGCGTAGAGTGCACACTAGAGAAAGCAGAGGTACATTTTCAAACAGAGACCAAGGATGATCTGGATTCAATAGCTAAGTTCAAGATGGAGGACTCAGGTTCTCTACATCTGGAGAGTAGAGAATATGTAGCACCAACTATGAACCGCAGTCAAAATACTGCCAATATGGATAGAGAATCAGGTGTATCGATTCAACCAGGTTCATATAATAATCAATACATTGGTTCTAGACTTCCTATGACTGGCTCGACTAGCATGCATACAAGTTGTAAAAGCTGTGGTGGTGCAGGTCATGGCCCTGAGAATTGTCCAAGTTCGATCATTGTAAATGGTCATTATCGAGGTAGATTTGGCTATGGAGCGTCGCCTTGGGTAACTCGCAATGGCGAGAACCTCAAATGCTTCAAGTGCCATCTGTTTGGGCACTGGGCAAGGGCTNTTATCGAGGTAGTTTTGGCTATGGGGCGTCGCCTTGGGTAACTGGCAGTGGCGAGAACCTCAAATGCTTCAAGTGCCATCTATTTGGGCACTGGGCAAGGTAGGCTCCAAGAGTTGTGCTTTGGCATGTTGCTTTTAAGTTATTAAGTAGTGTCGTGTCTGTGTGATTATGAGAGCACGGTAGTGATTTAGAATGTGTGATATAGATATTGTGAGCAGTATCAAAATACCTTGTTTTCTTGTATTCGGCTGATTACAAACAGTTTATAAATATTAGCCAAACATGGGCGAGGATAGCTCCTGTTGTTGAACCCTTGCCCCTACGTTTCCCACCCCCACCCTATTCGCGTATGGAAGATGATATTTAGCTACATAAATGTGTTCCATTTCTAACGCCTCAAACTTTAAAATGAGGTTATTAAAGTAGTTTTAGAACAGAAATAAACAAGCCCATGTAAAAGATGGAACTACAAAAAAGAGGAACCGATGGACATCGAAAAAGAGAGAGCAAGAAACAAGATAGTGTAAACAAAGAAATAAATGAAGGTAGATGCTTGCCTCTCCACGCTAAATTGAAACTTATTTTTTCATCCAAAATTATAGTGCAATATCTAATTTCTAGAAGTTTTCCATTCATTTTCACAACTCAACTTATTTATACTCTTATGACTTATTTGATAAGGTGGCCTAGATAGATCTACTGTATTAAAAAAGAACAAGAATTTAAGAAATCTTGCCTATGTTACTGTACAATTTTATCCAATATTGCACGGTGATAAAAAAAAAACCAGCTAAACCATCATCCTCGTTGAAAGTTTTCCTTTTTATTCGGGTAGATGAGAATCAATTTCTACACAACATACATCAGCTAGAGCCCAGAAGCAATTTGTTCCCATGAAAATATGATAAAAAAAAACTCACAAACATGCCTAAAAAATTTCTAATAGGAGGACTTCGTACATCTCTACCATGCAGCACAAGAATGTAGCAACAAAAATAATCCATTTCAATCTTACAGTGACAATCGCGAGTGAAAAAATGATCAGGTGGGCAGTAACTTGTGGACAGCAGATCCCTCAGTTTACATTTTCTCCATCATCTTTTAACATGTGAAAGGACTTGGAAACTCCAAAAAAAAAAAAAGGGTCTCTTACAGATCTGGCACTCCCATTCCAGTTTTAGCGTCATATGTCTTTTCCGAGACCAAATCCAATGGAGTATCCTTAGGACCAACTGCACAAAGCAATCAAATTAATTTAGACAATTCAATAACTTCAAATAAAATCGACTTTGCATTTTGAACTCAACTGCCTACAAGCCAAAATCTAAACAAAATTAACTTTATAATGTCCAAGCAAAGAAAATAAATTTCAATGGCAAATGTTATTTTCTGGATCAGCAGTTAGCATCTGCAATTAGGTAAAAAGGAAATGAACTGTTAAGTCATAAATTTATACCCCCTTAATTATGGTTTTATTTTATATCCTGTCCCTGCCCCCCTCTCCAGCAGAGGATCACCCTAGATCTAGAGAGAACGAGAAAGTGGATTATAAGATTCCATATGTAGATTCTCCGTATGAGAAGGGTATGCACTCCTGTTAAACTTACCATTGTGTGTGCGTTCAGTTTAAACATTCATGTTTACAAATTCCAAGCGTTTGTTGCCAAAATAGTACGCAGGTTAACCTCAAATGAACTTATACCACTAATCGCATAATAAATTTTTCTCACACCAAACATCTATAAACTTGGATGTATAAACTAAATTATTTCCAAGAGTTTCTTGCCAAAATAGTACGCAAGTTAACCTCAAATGAACTTATACCACTAATCTCATAATAAAATTTGCTCACACCAAACATCTATAAACTTGGATGTATAAACTAAATTATGTAGCATCCCCATACTCTGCCCATATCTGATATAGCGACCAAACACAAGTCATATCTAAACCTCACACTTGGAAAACTAGAGCTGATCTTCAAACAATCAAATGTACTGTTTTATTTTAAGACGCAACTGCAGACCTCATGCTTTAGAGAGAGATAAGCATAATACATGAGCACATGCACAAACACTCAAGGGAACGTGGACTATTTGAACGTTACCAACTGTTGGCCTTGGTGTGGTCCTAATCTTCAAGATCTCTGGACGAGGAATCATAGACCCCGAGGCACCGATTCCTCTAGAAACTCTAACTTTGGCACCATCTTCTAAGTATCTGTATCCAACCTTGCAGGGCTTCCTGTAAAACCAAATATGAGCCCCTATTTCACCGAGACAAAACACAAGTACATCAGAACAATTAGACACCACCATCTTACCCTGTGACTGGATCTAAAACCTGAACATTTGAGACATGCAGTGGGGCTTCCACTGTAAAAATCCCACCTTCATGACCTTGCCCTTGCTTGATATGCTTCTTCACCTGCAGAGAGTAATTAACAAATGAGATGAGCACACGACACAGGAATACAAGAGCAATGAACACTTAACAAGAACTGTTACCGCCACATGATGACAAAACCAATGTACACCAGCATTTTTCATGACTATTCTGTGTTTTACTACAATTTCCACAATATAAGTTAGCAAAATGCCAAAGATTTTATTAATAAAGAAGAAGGAACGGTATTGAAAATCCTAGGTGAAAGCAAAAGTTCTATGATTCTATTTTTCTACCAGAATTATCCCTATGTACGGTGCTCGGTGTATGTTGAATAAAAGGTAACCCTCATCCATCATAAAACTGCAAAACCATAAAAACAACTACTACCCCCTCCCCCTCTTCCCCACCAAGGAAAAAGATAAAGGACATACAGAAATAAGGAAACCCTGTGAAGGAGTCTAAATACAATACTAGGTGTTGAGAATTAGAAATCCTAATTTTATTCCACCAAGAGCAATCAATTAGAAGAAACGAATAAAAACACACAAGATTTATAGAGGTTTGCCTCAATGTGAGTCTACGTCCTCACCCGCCATTACAGTAATTTACTATGATGAAAAAAAGTTTACAAGAGAAAATTGCACACCTATATTCTCTAACCTCTATTTCCTTCTCTCTTTTATGATGGTAATTTAAAAGCTTAATGACGGCTCTCTATTTATAAGATAAATTAAGGCAAAAACCGATATTCAGAAAGACTCAAATTCTTAAGACAAAATTTACAAGGATAAAAATTCCTAAAACTGATCCGCGTACTGCTCCACGAAGTGGCAATAAATAGGCTTCACAACTTAACACTAGGAACATACATGTGAATGTGCTGAACAAAGCATAAAAAGAGTGGTTTAAAGGTGAAAGGAAGTTATTAACTCAACAGATATACATATGCTCAAACACAACAAAAGCAGACATAAAAAGCTTTCTGTTAAATTAGATGACGTCATAAGCAAAATACGCAGCGTAACTGGAAACCCAAGTCACACGGCTAAAGCGTGGGTGTTGAGTTATTGTATTAAAACTAATTAATTATGAAAATAGTGAAAATTAAAACACAGACATACAAATCAAAATAGAATTGGCCTAAATATTTAACAATAAGCAATCTCTGTATAGCTGGGCAATAGCATTTATGTTTCTATTGATTAACCTCCAAAACTACAATAAAATAGCATTAGTGCCACATAGCTAATTAATCTAATCCCGATCATCATAATGTATTTCTTCAACATCATCTAAGTTAATATTCATCTGTTAGCTTCCATCACATTATTCCTTTGTATTGGGGACAAACTCACATAGCACTCAAATTATTCAACACCGAAAACAGTGTAATGCTATTTATCTCCATTACAGATGATGACCACATGATGTAGAAATAAATAATAAGACCAATAAAGTAGGTCTCATATTCATACATTTAATTGGCCTTATCATTTCATAAAACATATTGGTGATCGTCTCCGATGGCACTATCCCCCACCCCCACCCCAAAAAAAAAAAGAGCAGGAAACACACATAAAAATAAAAAATTGCAGTTATTCAACACTACAAGACGTCTACACCATGTTTAGAAAACAAATACAGGATAACATAGCACTATGTAATCAATTATCATATATTAATCGAAAATTCGGATATTTTGCTATAAAACCAGACCTAAAAATTAGTTGAACAAATTTGTCTTTCGTAAAAAGCATTTTTCAGGCCCTTCAAGAGCAAAACACGAGACCCATGGATTTCCTGTCAACCAGCCGACCACTAGGCTAATGCATTTTGGTGTTTATGACCAACCGCTTGAACTAGTGACCCACTAACATATCCAGTCAATGCCTGGGACAAGTTTGGAAAACATCATATACTCTAAAATGGATTGTAATAGGGCTGCCTTCATGTACAATCATTAGATTTATGTAGCTCATTCAAATAGGATACAGATCACATTTTATGTCAAACCATACTAAAGCTTCTTATTAACCCTACCCACCCACTGAAGAAAAAGAAAAAGGCGAAGAAAAGAAAACAAAAAGTAAATGGGTAAAAGATTAGACAAAGAGGTTTTTAGGTTTGTCTTCCACTTAAACTCGAAAAGTTGTAAGCTAAAATATACAGTTCTCAATATACAAAATCTCTGGGGCATGGAAATTATAATTTCAGTAACAACAAATTAGAAAGAAAGAGAGTCACTCACCAAATTCTTGCCCTCAACAATAACACGATTTTGAGTGCGTATAACACGCTTAATAATACCAGTCTCGCCTTTATCCTTGCCCCGGATTATCACAACCTGCAAAGGGTAAGAAAAAATAAATAGCCGTTTATTTGCAGAGAGAGAGAGGATCTAAAACATTTGGACAACAAAAAAGGGAAAGATGCCATTTTCCTTACATTGTCACCTCTAAGGATCTTCCAGTGATGTATGAGTTTCTGTGCTGCCTTCCAACCCATTTCAACCAACCTATAAAAATAAAGGTTCTTCGTTAGTCTTTTGAATATCCAAGGCCAAACTCTTGCTGATAAAAAGGTGACTAAATTCAACATTAAAATTATCATTTTGATTATCAATTTTTTTTAATTTGAGAATAGATAATTCACTCCACAGAATGCAGTTTTGTAATTGTCATGACACCCTAACTGACAGTATCCCGATCCCAAACTTTGCCTCCACAATTTTTAATGCTAATACTAAATGTACATTAATCCCAAATCGAGCTTGATACTGAATATATCATTTGTGTTTGTTGACTATATATAAAGATGGAAAACAAAAATTCTATCATATATCCTCGAGAACTCTAAAGTAATCTTGATTTTAGAGAGCAACTGTGATATAATCGGCATAGAAACATAGTTTCAATCTTTAGTTCCCAACCTTTCATTCCAAGAAAGGAAAACTACATTCATAACCCCACTTCTTCCCACTTATATTATCCCTAATTCTCTAAGCCGGATACTCAGCTACCAGCTCAATATATCAAAATAGATACACAGACAAATGGCTAAATATAATCATCCATGCCATAAGACAAAAAAAAAAAATCCAATATCCTCATTTTTTAAATTAAAGAATAAAGAAGATGCACAAGTTCCATATGGGACTCATTTAAAAAATCAAAAATGTACATTCAACACCTGAAAAAATAAAAAGCATCATTTCTACAATCATCCACAAGCAAAAACAAATGAATGCATAAAAATCAAAATCTTAACTTTCATAGATGAGCAAGAGCAGTTGAATTAACAAGTTAAAACCTGAAACTCTATTCCGAGAATTTTCACCATCAATCAAAGAAAAGAAATGCAACTTATATCAACATACCGAAAATTTCAGCTTTTTGAAGCTTAAAGGTCTCGTGCTTCGTCGGATTATAGGGGTTTATCGGCGTGAATTGTTCAGATAAAAATGATTCAGCTGGGCCGAATATATAGCATGAATGGCCCAAAACTAAGAAAAGTAGGGTAAATTGGGCCCGTTACTGCTCAAAACTAAGAAAATTGAAAAACAGAATGCATTATTCATAAAACCCTCCAAGTTGCCATTTCCAAATTTCCGTAAGTTGCCATTTTCAAATTTCCACGTATGGGTCTTTTGCGGATACAAACCTCCCTTCGACGTTGAGCAGAATAGTGATTATTCTGCAGGTTGGAACTAATTGACAAATACAGAGAAGAACGCAAGAGA